CTGTTTCCACAGCTTTTTACCACACATGGAATGTGCAGCCCCTGGATCATATAGCATCTCTATTTCTTTGCCATTTATTTTTGTCATGAGCATGATTTTGTTTGTGGAATACATGTTTCGTACATTTGTTGTGTTAGTAGAGCTATAACTACCACCACTTTCATTGCCGTCTTTCGTTTCAGCAACATGTACATGTCGTGTATTCTTTTTCTGGTTTTGTATTCGAGCATGTCCCGTTGTTATGCAAACTTTTGAGAAATGATTGAATGCTCCACATGCTGAGCACTTTTTATTTTTAGTAGGACATGAGTCTCTTCCCCTGTGGCGTAATTTTCCACATGATAAACAGTCTTTTTCAATGTTCAATATCAGAGTGTTATTGTATTTATCTTGTTTGAATTTATTACGTCTGTCGTTACATTCAAGAAACTCTCGACTTACTCGGTTAAAGTCTGAATTTACTGCATTTGTATGCTTGACATCAAACTGTCCTGATAGATTCGAAAGTTGTTTTGACTGTAACGAAGCCTGATCCAAAATAAGTGCTGTTGCTTCAATTTCTTCTAAGGTGGCTGTATTATTTGGATGTAACCTAATTAATTCCTGTTGCCAGGCCATGTTGTTGATACCAATAACTAGTTGATCTCGAAGACGTTCCTTCAAACTATCGGAAAATTCACAATTTCCTGCCAGTCCACGGAGAATGTTCATAAACTGGGTAATGGTTTCACTGTCCTTTCGATAACGGAGCGCAAATGCTACCCTTTCAGACAGAATATATTTCGTTTTACCATGATATTTGTTTAGTACGTTCACGATATCGTCAAAAGATTTTGTTGTCACTTCATCTGGCTTAAAATGATCAACCAGAATCTTAAAATGTTCCGGCCCTACCTTGCTCAAAAGCAAATTACGTCGTTTCACTTTAGTAGGCTCATCGTTTGTGTCCAGACCATGAAGTTGTAATTCCATTTTGAAACGTTGTATGTAATACTGGGAGTATTACATAGGTACTCTTCTTCACTCTTCTCTTTTTTTTTTCCGGAGAAAATCTATCAAACTGGAAATATCTCAAAGTATTCTGTATCAGTTGACATTTTTCCCTTGACACAGTTCAAATTATCTGGTTGGTTCAGCTTGTTGGCTGCTTGTGTTGAATGTTTTCGTCGTACTGTTTGTTATGTTTATCTGTCTTCTAAACTCTCACTGGTTTATCCTCGTCGCCATAAAATGTGGTATGGTTGGGTTGATTGAAAATAATCACCTTTTACTGATAGTCGATGTGTTTCTTTTTATTGACATAATTGACATCACAGAACATTCGAACTGTCAGATGAAAAGAACTAAAATAATAAACATGGAACATGATACTACAATTCAAAACTAGCGTGAGGTTGGTTTTGAAATGGAATTTGTCGTTACGTTATGCCTGTTGTCAGTTTCTGCTTTATTCTGATCGTTATAGTTTATAAAGTGCTGAAAACATTTCATCAAATACGTTGTAAGGATGTACAAAATAAAGCGGTATGCACAAATCTGATTTTAATTGAGGTTAGAGAACATTGAAGAGTTTGTTTTTATTATTGAATTTGACATCTGACACAAATTTAAATTTCCATTCTGGCGAATCTTAGTACTAATGCCGTCACTACGAATCGTTTTTGAATACACTGGTGTTGCAACTGATATGTATGAAATTGATACCGTTAATATCGCTGTTGGAGTGACGATACAGTGTTCGACAACCTGATATTGTAAATTGAGTGGTAGATTTCAATTAAGATTCAACTTATGTTCAAAAGAGTTGAGAATGAAAAAATATATATAAAAAAACACATGGATTAATTCCGTACGAAATTTTTCGTTCTTATAATTTACAAACTCAAATTTCCTTTCATCAACATTGAAATGCAGATTTTCATTTTACGTCTATTATAAGTTCTTTCATGGTTTATACTGTTTTTGGAATATTTACAAATTGTCCCTACTCCAAGTATCGTATGTAACGTTAGACATGAATCATCACTTTTGGAACACCCATAGAAAAATACGAGAATACGAGTACATAAGAAGTAGACAATTGATTGGTGCATTAATAATAGCAGAAACTTCGGAATCTGAAGCATCCAAATCTTCTTTACTGTTGTTATGCCCAAGATATGATATTTTGGATTATAAAACGCTACATTTGTTTAAAGATCATTCAAGTACTACATTATGTAAGCGTGAAAGAACTGTTTTTGAACAATAAAGATGTTCTCTATTTTTTCCCATGATTAGAATATTTTCCAGAAAACAGACCACCCGATTTAAATCTACTAATAGAGAATATGGATTTCTTTGAAATTTGTATAAAATACGAGCACGAATATATCGATCAAATCCTTTGTGAGTCGAAATTGTAACATACTTTTATGAAGTCTTATCTAAACAAATCTGCTGATACGCATTAGACATGTATAGTTTAGTAAAGTGAATATACCACCAGTTAATTTACTGAATAAATTTTCAATTTTTGGTAATGGGTGAATAAGGCCAGTTTCATAAAAGGATTTTTTGTAACTTTGGATTTCAGCACATAGGTACGTACATAACGTCGCGTTTCAGTACAGACACAATAGGCGTTCTCCATTCAGAAAAATCAACTGGCTCAATAACTTGAGTTGATCCAACTCCTTTTCCACCTCTTCTTTAATTAAAAATGGTACAGGTCGTGCTTCAAAAAATTTCGTACTTACTCCCGTACCTGATTTCAGTCTGATTTATATTATCCCTTTGTTGAATTTTTGCCAGATCAAACAAAATGAAAAGATCACGCCCAGTACTTAAAGCTGGCCCGCCATTTCAGTGACTTAAACATTCAAGTTGTCAAGTTTTCTCGAAGGTATAATCTTGTTTATATCCTGCAAAATCTTTTTATCAAAATTTAATTCATGAAATGATTTCGACTTTACAGAGAACTAGCTTCCGTATCTAAAATATAAGTGTATATTTTTCATCAACAGAATGGCAAAAATGGCAAAAAGAGTCATGATATGAAAATTTATCTACCCTGTGGATTTTTTCTTCCTCAAATCGAGCATTGGGTTTGTTTTTTCCATCACCGTTGTTTCTGGAACAGCTGCTTTGTGAATTTGATGCTACAGAAGATAACGGGCATCGCGCACTGGTTACCTACTTTGAATTCAGATGAATTTGTGCCAGTGAAAGGTGTGGTTGGCCGATTTAGAGGATGCAATATCAATAACTTTGGAAAACTTGACTCATGCCTTATTTTCTTCATAAAGTCGATCTTTTACTGTCCTTTGTCATAACCGATGATGAATTGATTGACTAATGCTTTTTCAATCTCGGGAGAACCATCAAACTGCGTAATCGTGTTGCCCAGTTTTCCGGACTTTCATTCGCCATTTTTCTTGATTACATTTTTTTCTCTGTTAAAAACTACTGATTTTATTGATTCGAAATTTTCATCCATTGAGGTTATTGTACCCCTATATTTTACTGTATCCGGTTCATCTATTATATACATATTACTCACTAATTTATACGCAGGTTCATACAATAAACTCAACAGTTTTGCTCGTTTCCTATTTTCATCAATTTTTTTCCTTTCTTTTTGATTCCTATAAAATCTCAGTAATATTGAAACATTAAATTAGGTAACTGAAGTTACTTACTAACACTTGAAAATATCACGTCGCCTCTTGTAATGTAGTCTCCCCTAATTTCAGGGTGATATCATTACCAAAAACTCAAGACAGCAGTTTCGGTTTTAACGTTTACTTTCCAGCAACATAAATCAATTCGTAGGTCTTCGAGTATTCTGAACCTAAAAAACGTCACAACCTAAAAAGTGAAACTATTCATTATTGAACTTACAGGATGGTTCAAACTAATTTCCTACAATAATAAAAACCATTAAAGAGTTCAACCTCCATTAACCATGTTACAGAAATACAATTGATATTCATTACCCAACCACCAGTCTTAATTATTCCATTTCGTAAGCCTTCATCGGATTGGGGCTCTGGTTTTCATTGATGTAAGGCAATGTCAGGTGATTTAGGAGGCCATTCCATGATACCATTTCTGCCTATTTGCTGTAGATATAGGAAAATTTTCGTTCAAGAATTGGCGAACGTGACGTATCCTTTCTCGATGTAACATCTATTAATCGTTTTCTTGAGGTTGTCATCTTCTTCTGGCATTTCATATCCATATTCGTTTGAAAATGTCCTTGTAGGACGAAATTGCAGTTTAACGTTAGTTACTATACAAGTGGTATAGAAACATAAGAAGTTTTAATTCTCATTTTTCATGATAATATTGTAACACATAGTAACGGCTACATCCTTCAATTTATTGTTCTTAGAGTTGATTTAATCGTTTAAGAGTTGTAAATAACTTAACAACAAAAAAAATAAGAATTAGCGTCGCTACAGTACCGATAATAGGGTCATTCTTCACCTCCTTTTTCTGAAAATGCTGAAAATGAAATCATGACGTATTTTGAAATATATTGAAAAAGATTTCTCCGATTGAAATCAATGCTTCAGAAAAGGGCCTCGAAGAAGTGGTTTAGCGAAATGGCGCATGTCGTCACCAGTTATAGAAAATCCAGAGCCGAATTCATTAACCCAAGTGTATACATACCTTCACCATCTCAAAGATTATACCCTTCTTTGGTTTGTGAACTAATGTTTCACAATTGACTATTTCGACATTGTCACTTGATGTTTCAAATTGATTATTGTTTTCATATACGTTTCTAAGCACTATGCTTCAATAAACTTATTTTGAAATAAACATTTGTAGAACTTCTCGCGTGGTCCAAATGCGACTTTAGATTTCATAGAAAAGTTGGAGACTGATGAAGTGGGATGTGCTGTATCTCGCAGTATTTTTTTACTATTAATAAAATGAAACTTTCACTGAAATTTTATTACAGAAATTGAGCGAGTGTATAACATTCTGGACGAGCGCCAAAAACTTGCTAAAGATTTTCCTTCGAAACAGATCATTGATATATATGCTCGCTCCGACTGATGGTAGATCGAATTCAAACATGTACGACACCTTAAAATGAAATTCAAATTTAGTATACATCAGACAGAACTAGTAGTTGTTTTTCACCTCTTTTTATTTTCTTCTGTAATACTTCTCGAAACATTTTTCTTTTTATTGATATAATAGCTGGTTTCACTAGCAGTATCAGTGGACGAATTACTGAGTTTGCGTTCTTTAGTACTGTCAAAGCACTGAGCTGTAGTTTTGGTATCATTAGTTATATTGCTGAGTTGGGAGATAAGTAGAGATCTTGTGGATGCTAGTGGAGTGTGCTGATGATGCATTGATGCAGCTTTTGGACTTTTGTCCTTAGAAATCAATTCAGATCTTAAACTTTGATCAGGTTCTACTAGTTTCTCTACAAAATGATGTTGGATTTGTGTTCCATTGTGAACTGTTTGTATTTGCTGCGAAGGCTTCAATGGATTGAAGTGTGTCTGATGAGTACCTTGTGAGAGCATTGAGGCCACTGATGATTTTTCCAAAGATTGTATAGTTTTGGGCAAATCGTTTACTAGATTATGTGTTGGTGAAAGAAATATTTGTGAAGGTTGAGTTGGAAGAGGTTTTACTTCTTTCAATTGAGAGTCAGACTTTTTTTCTGACATTGATCTTGTATGAGGCAGCACCTTCCTTTTAAGAAAAGATCTTGTAGGTGATATTGGATTCTGATGATGCCCAAATGAACCTTTTGTTTTTTTGCCCCGAGAAATCTTCTCAAACTGAGGTTGTATTCCATTTCGAATTGCGGCTTTCTGCAAAGGTTTCTTATTGGTAACACTGAAAATACAAACTATGAATCCATTTATCGTTTAAACAGGTTTGCAAATTATGTGTTAAAATTTTTTTTACAGAATAAAATTGATAAATCAATAGTGACCAGGAAATCATNAGTAAACAAATCTAAAGCAAATGGAACTTCAAACGTTCAAACCAGTCTCTATATACCTACACAGTAGGTTCAATGGACTGACGCCTATCAGAAAACAACTACTCCCCTGGCTAATACCATGAAGGGCGTTGGATTATATCCGATTATAACCTACTGTGTAGGTATATAGAGACTGGTTCGAACGTTTGAAGTTCATTTGCTTTAGATTGTTGACTGCCACTCTTCAAGCATAACCCACTGACTAATAAGAAAATTTCATGAAACATTGAACAGGACGAAATATTTAATTATCTGTTGTATATTTGAATTATGTTTGGTATATGTTATATGTATTGAATTTAGTACCTTTTCCTTTGTAAATGCATTCTTTTCATAGCAATATCACTAAGAATTTCCTGTCTCACTTTCCTCTGAAATATATCTTGAAAACTGCTACTTAGTGGAACAAATTTGTTGGCAGCTGGACTCAAACCTGATTTTGGTTCATTTATTTCTGGTATCATTTTCAATAATCTTTTTTTGTTTAGAGACTCATTTTTGGCAGAACTGAGATCATCTTCAGTAGTGGATGATGAATTGACCCTGAAACAATTCAAACATTAAGAGAAAACTATCAAGAGGGTTGAAAATATGCAAAAATAAGTGAGGTAGTGGTAAAATGTTCATCCTTATAGAGAGCCAGGATGCATTCTGGGCTTTGATTTGCTCAGGAGAAACTGGTCTAGGAATGCTGAGAACTGAAGAAATTGGCAAACCTGAATAGATTTTTGTATCATATGATATAGCATATACAACATTTATGATTTTATAAATTTTCAATAAACTTTTCTCTAAAATCATCAGATGAATACAATTAATTCAAATGTTGAGTTACTGCTATTGCAACTGTTTTAATTAAGTATATCATATTTTAATATCACTGATTAAAATCCCAAATGACATTTGATTAATTTTTATATTTTCCATTCCTATGAAACGATTTAATAGACTTCCAAAAAAAGAAAGGCCAAGATAGAAAAAGTGCTTCAAGAAATGATGGAAAAAAAAGTTTTAAGTACTAAAGACTGAATTAATAATTGAAAAATAATTGTCCAATGTCCAATAACTCTGCTGACATTCTTAGAGGTGTACCCCGCATTTCCACATCATACTTTATGCAAACTACCTATTTTTCAGTGGCAAATTGCCTCTATTATGTATGTATTTCAATTTGTAGCGAAAATCCTTGAAAATTGCGATAGTTCCCTTCCAAAAATATTATACTTCCACGGTCGTTTATAGAAACAATGGACTATTCTAGTCAGATTCAACAAAAACATATTTTTTTCAGTGAGTGGATATTTAATCATGCAAATATCGCAAAGTGATATTTATCTACAAACACTGTGGGAAATAGGATCTTTTGAGGTGCAGAAACAGTAACTTTTGAAGTATAATTGTATTCAACTCACTTTCTTTGTAGTTGATTCTGTTCAATATATTTCATTTCCATCAATGCTTCTGAAGCCGTAGAAGTTGAAAATGAATCTTCAAATCTGAAATATAATTGATTATAGGAAACATAAATGTTTATGAACAGATTTTTTTATCAGGTTATCTTTTTGTTCATAGATTGACAAGAATATACAAAACATAAATATATTTGAGACTGTATGATACCGTTCAACTCACTTTTCTTCTGGTTGATCATTTTTTTCCATTTCTAACACTGCTTCTGAAGCTGTGGATGTTGAAAATGATTCTTCCAATCTGAAAGTTCATCATTCCTATCAATATAAATCGATACAATAGACTTAAAAACTCAAGATAGAAAAGGTGCTTTCAAGAATAATAAAATTATATTAACATATTCAGACACACAGAGATAAGCTATTTTGAGGTTTATATTTGAACACTATGCAACTGAGAAACACTTTACCCAAAACATGTTATCAAGCATGTTAACATTTCTACATAAATGCCCTAGAGCAAAAGACCTGCCTTCCGGACCAAGTTCCTTCATCGGAAAACAAATCAATAAATCTTAGACACCCGTTCTCGATCATAATTTATTATTCTGCAAAATTTATTTTCCTACCTGTTCTTAGAAAATTCTGAGTTTTCAGTGTCATCTGATTTCAACATTTCTGGTGCGGTTGTTGTTGATGAGGATGAAAATGATCGTTTAACCCTGAAACATTGAAATTTTTTATAATAAAAATATTACTCTATTTCACATGTGATAAAATTTCATTGACTCACATTCCACCTTCATCTGTTCGTACNACCTATACGGTTTATATTCTTCCTTGGCTTTTATTATATTGGTAATAGCATTCGATACATAATCTTCTTCGTCTAAGTTAGGATCATATTGAAATGTCGAGTCATCATCATCATCATCATCATTACTACCATCTGAAAATTCATCATTACTTCCGTCTGAAAATTAAATAAAATTACTTATTGGGGAAGTTGATTTACCGCACAGGTGATGCCAAAATAGTGAAGAAAAATATCATACTCAAAAAACTATATTTGCAGAGTTCTGCATTCCCATCAATCCATATTATGAACGTGTCGTCCACGTATCTCAACCAGACTCGGGGATTCTTGAGGGCTTCTTCAATGGCCAGAGTTTCAAACCGCTCCACATATATATTGGCTATAACTGGTGAAAGCGGTGATCCCAGTGGCAGTCCCTCATCTTGCGTAAAGAATTCGTTCTTCAGTTGGAAGTAGCGACGCGACCAACTCCTGCCAAATGGTCAGCTTCCGCTAAAACCGATGAAGCGGAGAGAGGGAAGAGGGAATAGGTGAAAACACTTGAATGACCTATAAATAGTCAGATCTCGGAGGAATAAGTCCAGTTATCACCCTAAGACGATTGTGGATACCAACAATCGAAACGTCGTGAATTAACTTGATTTGGAATCTTTTTAATTTTCATTTCTTGTATATAATTTTTTAATTTTCATCTCGTATTATTGTTATTTTTCGGCTAATCTCTTTTTTAATTTTTTACAGATTCTTTCAGGTATTTCAAATCAATTTATATCACATTAGACAATGGAAGTCCGAACAAATGAAATGCATTAATTGTTTTGTTTATATAAGTAACGCTTGGCATTCCAGATATACAAAACCCCTCTTCTACAGTCATCTGAAACATACAACATAAATTCTGATAATGAAAGGTAAAACTGGAACCTTAGAACATGAAAAAATACTTCTTCATATAACGAAGATGTCTATTCAGTTCGTGAAACTCGTGTCAAGAAGAGTATTGCAGTTCTGGTGTCTAAGAAAAGTGCTTTTTTGGATTAAATTCTGATAAGAATGTGAAATTTCAATCATAAATATCACGTTGAGTGATATCAAGTAAGTTGCAGTAGATTGATAATGAACAAATTTAATAACATCTATTTAAATCCTGGAATGTTGAAACTTGCTCCCATTTTCCTTGGAGCAATTCCTCAAGAGATTACTGTTACCCTTTCAAGGAACTTTGGATATTTGCAGTCCAGGTAGCAGAGTCCACAAAAATGTTCTGTAAAGTATTGGCATCCTACCAGTTTCCTCATTTCCTTCAATTCCAAAGTATCTTTCTCCCTGCCAGTTTGTCTTGGTGAGTGAGGGTTTGGAATCCAGAGTCAGTTTGGAATTAAACATAAATTACCTCAGAGCTTTCAGTGGGCGCCTCTTTTGAGACACTCTCGAACACAAGCCTCTGTACCATGTTATTCACAATCATTTGATAATAAGGTCTTGGAAAGTTGCTGATTAACAAAACACTTTATCACAATATGTAGATAAGGAAGGTTGCCATTTCAAATCAAACTAAACTGTTAGTGGGAAATCAAAGAATGCTTACCATGAAAATATTTCAACTATAGAAATGAAATGAATCAGGTGCTTTCACACTTTGACATGTATCATAATTTTCAAATAGCTCATATTGAAAAGTAAAACATTTTTGTCACTGAATAGAAATTTAACAAACCTGGTAATTCCAAACTTTTCAAATTAGCTTCTGATTCTACTGCTATGACTTTTTCAGTTTCTTGACATTTCTTCACGAACTTCAAAGCATTTCTCAGTAACGAAAAACAAGTGTCACAAACGAAGTGATCATCAGCAAGAGTAGAGTTCTGAAAGAAAATAAGTCTATTGAAATTATAAAACAGATCATTATAGATGATAGAATGTTTAAAATGCAGATCTTATGATTATCATGTCTCTAGTCAGAGGTTATAGAGACTTCGATATACTATCATTTTCACGTCGAACGAGATGGCAAGAAGTCAAGACACTCTCTCACAGTACTCTAACAATACAATCCTCAAATGTAATTAATAAAAATTCAGCCATTTTATGTATGTATATTGCTTGAGTATCCTACATAAAAGTTGTTTGGTAAAGACAAAGACCAGAATAGATTTTTCAAACGAGAATAAAGTACAGCGCTATGATTCAAAGACAGATCAAGCTAATATTAGCGTTTTCTCAAATCTACGAAAAATGAATGTAACTTGAGATAACAATTGACGAACTGAATGAGGAGAAAAAGAGCAAGGATAAGTACATCAATAAAGTGAAAGTAATCTATTTGTGGATGGGGCAATTGAAAAAAAGTGGACCCCATTAATGGACCCCAAAAAAACTTTATACACAAACTGGTGAAATAACAAAAAGCCATGTTTCTGAATATCCTAATTATTTTGGCGTAGGAGAAGATTTTACAGATGATTGTATTGAAAGGATGAATATGCATTCTAATTATGAAACTGATTACCACAATGCACTGTTGCAAAGCTGCTTTAAAGAAATAAATTATTATCTCAGGTTTCACAGAAAAGTATTTGGCAAAATACATGTTTCGCCTGAAAAAAGATGAGTTCATCTTTTTCTAAAAAAGGAAAGAGTCAGTTGACGTTTCACTCAACTGCAGAGTGCACAAAAATGGTAATGACATAGTTATATTTGACACACTAAATATAATAAGCATTGATTGCACCATTAAAATGATCATGAACTTTCTACCCAGGTTATTTAATTTAATTTGAAATAATAGTGTGAGGCTGATGAAACATTCCTTTTAATTGTTATATTTGGCCCCCTAAATATAATAAGCATTGATAACACCATTAAACTGATCATGAACTTTCTACTCAGGTTATTTAATTTAATTTGAAATAATAGTGCGAGACTGATGAAACATTCCTTTTGTTATATTTGGCCCCTGAATATGATAAGCATTGATTACACCATTAAATGAATTAAATAAAAAAGCCACTTTGCTGGGCAATAAAGAATCACTGACTGATGACAAAATATATTCTTGAACACTGCTTTTATTCCACAGACGAGTTTCTCGTCACAACAAAGCAACTGAGTCATGCACTCAACACATCACTTCTCTGAAATAGTCCATTCTATTTACACTATTTATTTATGCCTCACTTGATTATGTTTGTAACACTTTCAAAATATCATATGTTTTATTGTATAATTTTATTCATTGTGTACTTAATATTGTATCTATTAATATATTGGCATGCCATATATGTATTTATATATGCAATGTGGTGAAAATATATCTATCTATCTATCTATCAATGATTCAACTACAAATATCATGCATAATTGGTCACTTGCCTATGCAAACCAAAACAACACATCTGCATTGAGTATGTACAGTATCTTGCAGTGGAGAATAAAATATAACTTGAAAATATAAATATAACTGAATAAATCAAAATACATAGCACAATAGCAGAAGGTAACAGATATTAAGTGCATATATAGAAAGTCTCTCTCCCCCTCTTAACTTTCGAACACTACAAGATATTGAGTTCGGACAAAATTTAGGTGAAAAGGTATCTATTTCAATATTGTTTGATGAGAAAGACAAAATATCGTTGCATCATTCATCTCTGAGGAGTATTACCAACTTTTTTTTGGTTGAAAACTCATTTGGG